AATTAGAGAAGGGAGGCATGTTTAGGAAGGCCTTTCGCTTTGTAAGCAAGTCTCTGATTGCAAATCCTCTGTCAGCCATGATGTGGTCCCCTTCCTCAATCAATTCCAAAATTCCACTCTTTTGGGTGAGTTTGCGGTCACTTGTACTTCCACTCCACAATTTTGACACAAAACTGAAAAATCCTGGAGTTATTCCAACTACCGTTTTCATAGTGTTATGGCTCTTATATTCACTCCCCGTGGCTCGCTGTGCAACAGGAGAGGTAGGTTTCTGAATGAATATCTCCGTACAATCAATTATAACCCTAGTGGATGGATAATTTATAAATGACCTGGGCAAGTTTAGGCGAACCATTTCTTTAGAAGGCCAAATCAACAAAACATCTCTCAACGTAATAGCAAGAAATGAGATCCAAGTGGTGAACACCTTACAAACAGAAGATTTAGAGATGGAAAAAGTGTCTGACAGGTGTTGAACAAGTAAACCCAATCGAAGTCTTGACAAGGTCAAAATAAATTCTTGCAAGATGGTTAGACTTCTCCTTTTGCCACTCTTTTTTACAGGTCTGTATTGGAAATGTACTTTTTCCCCTTATTGCTGTCCCAGTATTTCAGTTTCTCGGCTGCAGGTTTCAGTAGATTAAATATCGCCATAAGGCAGGCCAATGTTGGAAATCCCGTGTAGAATTTCACGGATTCGTCATTTTTCAGTATATCGTCCATGGAAAGTTTTCGTCCTAATGCTGGCTTATCATTGAGTTCGTTTCGAATTCTTTTGTTTTCCGCTTTTAGCATCGACACATTTTTCATCAAATCGTCCATTTGTTGGTGATCTATCTCCGTTAGACAAGTAAGAGACTCACATTGCTTTTCCTTGAATTCTTTTATTCCATGAACTTTGTCTTCCTTTACCACGTAGTCATGATCTTTTAAAGCAATATCAGTGGAGACATGGAAAATTTTGGCGGGAACTACTTCTTTGTTGCCTTCAATTGAATTTCGTTTTCTCCGCTCGCTGGACCTTTCCTCGCGTTGATTCGGACATCTAGGGTCTGAATATGGATTAAAAATTGTTGGAACCGTCCCTTGTACTAATTTTTTGATCCCAGAAAGTTTCATTACGATTTGTTTCGTCTCAAAGTGTTCAGAGCATATGTGTAAATTCTTGATTGACGTAAACTCCTTATCAGCCCGACGACAGAAGGTAATCCATCTCTTTTTAAGTCTCTCTTCGCCTGGAAACCCGAAAAAGTTGAGATCCGGCCGTTTTTTAGAGTTGTTTTTGCACACAGCGATCGCACAAAACCTCATATCACACTTACAGTCACTCCAATCTGCTTTCAAAATAAGCGCTTATTCCCCCTCAGCCTCGACTTGGTGCTCTTCATTAGTTACCAGATTTTCTCGCACTAACAATTCGAAACTAGCCGACAGGTGTCACATCGTGACAGTTACTTATTAAAAAAATGCTAGTAGCGAGCTTGGGCTGCCTGCCGGTTCGAAATGGCTTTCTGGAGCGCGCGCTCTGGATGAAAACAAACAATGTTGTTGCTGCTTTCTTGTTTTCCTATTTTTATTCAATGATGCGATTCAAGGAAAATTCGTGCGATATAGGTTTTCGCGTAATTCCCTCATCAGGTAATGAATTTCTATAATTTTTCCCCAATATCCTGTATCTCGAAACCCCAAATAGGGCCTCAAATAGATTGTGTGCCGTAAGAACACCTTTGCAGGATTGACGTGGATTTATTTTTGATTAATCTGAAGGGTAATACACAGACTTACAAGGCTACGTAATTATTTTTGTTACTTTCGCAGTCGGTAGTAGAGGGCTTGAGAGGGCCTAAAATTATGCAGACATTTTGGTTTACTCTTACACGACGTACATACTAGGGGGGTTATTTGCAGGAGGGGCTTTAATGATTTAATTAAAATAAAGAAAGAGAACAAGTAGTTTCTCAAGCTTTGCTCCGAAAATGTCTGTTTCAAACTTTGCAGAGCAATTTCTTAACCACTGGCCGACGATTTTAATCGCTTCGGCCATTCTGTTGGTTTATCTGTACTTCATTCTCCCATATCGGAAGCTAAAAGCTGTCTACCCCAAAGGACCGACTCCTTTACCGTTCATCGGGCATACGCTGGATATCATAAAACACAAGGGTTCAGTGCATCTTCAGATTGACGAGTATTACAAGAAATATGGCGCTGTGTTCTCCATGTATATCCTCGGTAGCATGGCTAGTATTGTTGTCAGCGATCCTGACTTGCTGAGGGACCTTTTCGTGAAAGACTTTGCTTCCTTCACCGATCGTCCCGTAAGTTCCATGCACGATTTTGGGACTGTTTACTCTAATTACTAGTATTTTACACAAATCTCCTTGAAAGACTACGCCTTTTTGCTTTCTCTTCCTTGCAAGTCTTTGGAATGTTAGCCTTACATTCTACACAACTCCTTCCAGATTATTTGCTTTTTAACTGTTTTCAGGAATTTTTCAAACAACCCGAACCCCTCCGTAGTATGATGTCAGAAGCCAAAAAGGAGCAATGGAAACGTATTCGCAACACTTTAACACCGTCTTTCAGTGCTCTCAAGATGAAACAGATGGTTCCATTTATGAATGCTTCCTGTGATAATTTGATCAAAAAGCTTGGGGAATTCGCTGATACAGGAAAGAGTGTTGATATTCAGAAGTAAGTAATTTTGATGAATTCCTTAACCAAGAATGTTGCAGTAGTGTGTGTTCTTGGGATAGCGTAGTCTGACCATCTGGGTGAGTTTAGTTCTGAAAAGAACTGTTGCCAGTAGTTGTAGCCGACGTTTCGACAACCTGAGTGAAAGAGTCAAGTGTGTGTTCCTGCTAACTTAAGCTATGGAAACTGCCTGCCTCATAAAACGACAACCATAATCATCTCTATATGGCAAGGTAGTCCTAAAGTAAATCTGAGCATTCAGATTGGTTTGTTCCTATTTGATATTTTGCCATACAGACTTTTTTCACAGAAATGGTCTTAAGCTGTGTATTATTTGTTGCAAAAGGTGGCAAATTCAAAATCAACAAGTTATGTCCAAGTACTAGAGCCATATGATAAGTTATTTGCCAACCTGGCACTGGGAAATATTGGCCCTCAGTCAGTTTTATATGAACCTTTCTACACTCAATCTTTACTTCCATGAACTTGGACCAATATTCCCCAGTATGGACCTCAAGCTTGGTTGGTAAGAAGTTAGGAAGGCACTCATGATTGTTTAGTGAGGAGTTTTTTTTTTTTCCCTTAGAATTTACCAGTGCCTGACAATGGAAGTCATTCTTTCCTCTGTTTTTGGTTTTCAAGTGGATGCACAAAATAACCCTGATGATCCTGTCCTGAATGCAGCTAAACTGTCCATGACCCAAACTACTTTTCAAAAAATTATTTTGGGGGTTGTAACCTTGTTGCCTTTTGGTATGAAACTTTTGGAAAATATTCCAGCCTTGTTCCTGTCAAATTTTGTACCTCTTTCAAAAATTTCAGAAGAAATTGTTCAAACCAAGAGAAGAAGCACTGAGAGATCATCTAGGAAGGTGAAAAAAAAAAATTCAAATGGTGGTTCTAGATCTTGCAAACAGTTTTCATCAGTAGGGAAAGATTTTTTTATGTTTTCACCACAAGAGTGGGACAAAGAAAAAAGGAGGAGTCAAATCTCAGACCTTTGGGTTCTACACTCTGATGATCTACTGCTGACCCACAAAGACTGTATTGTGAGCTAGGTCATCATAAAGTCCATATATCATACGGCATACTGCCAGTGTCAGCAATGTTGAAAGAGTCGTGTGATGTTTTAATTATTTGATAACTACCTAAAGTAAATTGTATCAACAAAACTATCACTTGCTTCCAGTCATAGTCATACAGTGGAATCCTGATTTCTTGAACCCTCGGTTTCTCGAACCTCCTGATATCTTGAACCAAACCTTGTTTCCCTTGTATTTGCTTCACTTGTAATTTCACTACCGATTTCTTGAACTCCCAATTTTTCGAACCAATTTGTGTTTCCCCCGCAGGTTCCAGAAATCAGGATTCCACTATAATTGCTTGTGCTACTGATACTACTTTGGTTGCCACTACCTTCATCATCATCAATATCACCAACTGCTGAACTGCCATCACAATTAATATTTACCAGTACTGTTGATACTTAATTTTCACCATTGTTATTATCGTGTTTTATTATATGGCTGTGTCTCACAAGGACTGAGAACTACCGAATTCACGAATTTGATTGGCTGAAATTGATATTGAAAGCAGTCTAGATTTTCCCATCTAGACTGGCATCTAGACCGGTCCAGAAAATAAAGGTACAAAGAATATAAAAAATCGGCATATAAGACACAGCCATATAATAAACATCTTATTAACCAAGCTAGGTCGGTCTGTATGGGAGAATCTTGACCTCAGTCGCTGGTACAGATCTTACAGCGTTCAGTCTGTACTGGCGACCTCAGTCAAGATTCTCCCTTACAGACCTCCCGCTCGGTTAATAAGAACTAAGTAATAGTCATCATTACCATAAGCAGTGGAAGTAGCACCATGGAAGCAATGGCGATAACAAGGGTAGTGGTTGTTGCTATCGTTATCATCTTCACTATCTATTTCATTATCATCATTCTCATCAATTGTAAGGTAGCTAATTTCTAATACTCAGATCACTCTCCTCGTGCCACTGGTTGCTGCTGGTATCTTTACTCAATTTTAAATAACTCAATATGGCATTCATGATTTTATCTAGAAAGGCAGAATTCGTAAGGAGTAATTTAGGCAGTGAGTGTCACTTAAATTCAATTCAATCGCAATTTTTTTGTAGGACATGCTGGATTTAATGCTCTCAGCAGCAAATGACTCATCATTGCCAGAATCCAAGAAACTCTCAGATGCAGAAATTATTGCTCAAAGCTTTGTCTTTCTTGCTGCTGGATATGAAACCACCAGTACCACCTTAAGTTTTATGTCCCATCATCTGGCAGTAGATCCTGAAATTCAGGAAAAAGTGCAGCAAGAGATTGACAGTGTTTGGCCAGATGAAAACCAAATGTTGTCCTATGATGCAGTCCATGAAATGCCATACCTGGACATGGTGGCAGCTGAAGCTTTGAGAATGTACCCTCCAGGTATGAGAGGGACAATATTTTGATAATGATAACAGTGTTTATTTTTTGGAGTGAAGAGACAACTGCAAGTATGTCTGCATTGACAAGTTAGAAACTTGGCATGGTAATTCAAAGGGAAGCTTTTCCAGTTGATGGAATAATGTAAAAGAAATCTGCACTTAGTATCAATTTGGCAAACCTTTTTCATTTCTTTGCACCACAGAAAATAGGTACATTGAGGATTTAATGATTAATTCATTGATTGATTGATATTTAATGATTATTAATTCATTGATTGATTGATATAAGTTCTCCACCTGAATCACAGGCGCAGTATATTGTGACTGTTATTCTACCAGTACTGCCATTTTATAACTGGTACCCATATTTGTTCTCAAAGTGTTGTGGTCAAATTATATAACCTTCAACAGTTTTTCTCAGGGGTTTTTTGATCATGAATTTGGTTCGAAATTAAATTGGCCACCGTAAAGGGTTTCTAATGCTGACGTTTCTTCACTCTAACGAAGTGCTCATGCTCCAAACGTCACCTTTGCAAACCCCTTAATTTACGTTATCACCCCAGTTGATAAAACCAAATTATTCTGTAATACCCCACTAGCGCAGCACCTCACTTTCTTCGGAAACTTAGATATCCCTTCAATCACTTGTTGAATTTCACCAAGAACCTAATTACTTTATACGACTCTGGTTCTATTTTAAAGGATTCGTTACAGCTCGTGCCTGCACAGAAGAGTGTACCATCAAGGGAATCAAGATGCCTGAAGGTTTAACAGTTATGGTGCCTGTTTACAGTATCCACCGAGACCCTCGTTACTATCCGGACCCAGACAAATTTGATCCCGATCGCTTCTTACCCGCAGCCAAGCATTCACGCAATCCTTACACTTACCTTCCCTTTGGTCACGGACCACGTAATTGCATTGGAATGAGGTTTGCACAAATGGAGATGAAGTTGGCGATGGCGAGGATTCTGAAGAAATACAGCTTTGAAGTGGCACCGGATACAAAGATTCCACCTGACGTGGTCATCTCTGCTACCTTGACGTGTTCTGGTGTCAATGTGCGAGTGAAGTCTCGTGACAAGTGAAAGGGTGAGCTTAGCTGAGGAAAACTGTAAATAATCAAATGTCACTCCATGGGTCGATTATTGACTTTATCCTGTAGAAGACCACATCACACGATCCCGTAGCGTTTGTAGCTTTTAGCTTTTTAGCTATGAAAAAAGTGTCATCTTGTTCTAGTAAGTAAAGTATACATCTTAAGTCCCAACTTTCCCAGTTCTGTGAAGATTGTGGTGCAATCTCTCTTGTAAAAGAAGGAGCCGTTGTAGGCAGTTCTTCTCTAAGGCAAGTAAGAGCTACGACGGAGGGCTAACGCTCGAAACGTCAGCTTTTATAATCGTAACGGTGGCCAATTTACCATTTCAACTTTGTTGATATATTGAAATTATTTCGTTACCCCCACCGACGCAGCCCCAAACAGTTTTTTTTTTAGAAACTATCAGCATTTAAGAGCTTGTAAGTCTGCTGTTTATACTTGCGACTTTTTTAACAACAACTGCTCGTGCAAATGTAATCTATTTTCTCCCATTGTTGTTAACAAAAAAAAAATACGTTTATTCTAATAAAGG